TACTGATGTTATTAATATTAGTTTTAGTTAATTGCCTGACATCAATTTAGTAACGTGGGCCACGAGTAGTGTTGAAGACTCTGTAAATCACTGTAATAATCCACCAGGTGATAACGACTTTGCCAATTCGATAAAAAATCTAAATTATTAAGAAATTTGATCGTTGACGTATTGAAGAACATCAATTTATCTGAATTGTTTAAATTATTAGTTACATACTACCTAATAAATAGAGGTAGAGCACCTGTATATTGTCTGTGATTTGTTTGCAACTATTTCCAGTTGCTATAAAAACATCCATTTAAGTCCTTGGACAAGCTGATTTATAAAAAAATACCACTTGTTTCACACACATTTATTTACATTATGTTAATACATTTATTTATATCACCTACTTCGTCGGATTATTGTGGTTTATCTTGCATATAACCGTTAACAACGTACTTGCAATATGGTGCATTAATTCACGTATCGTACGATTGCATAATATATTTAATTTCGAACAAAACAAGGTTACAATCCTTTTAAGGAAACAAAACCGATCTGACTCTATTAAGGCGAACCACCAATTTGTATTGATGCTGACTACTTTGTTTGAGATAGTTTATTTTTATCAGAAGATGGTGTGATACTTGTACAAAAAATCGTTGGCGCCACTAATGAAACAGTCTTAAGATATATACAGAGTGTTTCAAAAGTTAAGTTCAGTTATTCGATCAAGCTTCTGAGAAGGATATTGAGCAGACTACATGACCCCCGCCTAACCTTCTACAGACTTTTTCAGGTCGACTGGAACTGGGACGAGGTAAATCAGAAAGGTAGAAAAATAATTGCTAAGGGGTGTCGTATGGTATACAGAAAAATCTAATTTAAAAAAAAATAAAAGATTTTTTATAATTCATGAAATTAAATGTCCCGCCACTTTTTGTTTTTCGATTTAGGTGTACATTTCCGTTTTGCTTTTCTACAGGTCGAAAAAGAATAATTATATTGCGGGCTACCTTTAAAAAATTTATAAAATTTTATTTCAGACACATAAATATACAAATAGGATCTTTCCATTACATACCATTTGGGTTGCATGTCACGACACCTATTTTTAACATTATTTGTATAATGGTATAATAACTCATTTAGGAGAGTAATCAGCAACGATTTTATAATATCTAGACAAGGCTAAAATATATTAGCTTAAGAGTGTCAAGAAAGACTGTATTTCTAATTTGTCCAAATAGAAAAAGAAAAAAACTGAAGGAAGCTTCTTTTGTGATATTTCGAATGTCATTTTACTATCAATGGTTAATCTTACAAACTCTTGGTGAAGAACCTGCTCAATAGATTTAGTTAGTGTTATAAGATAACTGATATTTTGTTAAACATATTCTGGAATAAAAGACAAAATAGCTATTTGTTTATTAAATAACCTGTCAATCTTTCGACTATATCTTTTCTTTTGTTCAATGCAGTTACTGTAAACTATTGTCATCAATGATAAAATTAGTATCGTTTGGACACAGTATACTGTTAGTAGATGGACATGTATTAAAATATTTTACACAAAGAATAAGAATATTTTATGGAACCAGTTACTTAAAAATAGATAAATAATTAAAATTTAAAACTACTGATTCTGAAATAAAATGCTTTTTAGGTACACAGAAGATTTGAATGTCTAAAATATTTTATATTTAGTTCTGCATTGACTTTTTTTATTTAAAACCTTTTGTTGTTCTTCATTCATAATATTTGAACCAGTCTATTTTTTGCCAAAACTTTAGAGATAAATTTTCAAATCGTTGTTTTACGTTTGTATATTTGACTCATTTCTTATTCTGTTTGGTGTAGCGATCTATTTCAATTACATTCGTTTACTTTATTATTTTTTTCTAATTTGCATGTTGTTTGTAACGTAATCCAATACAGCTTTTAATGTTTATACATAACACAATATGACATAACCTCCAACGCGGCAATTAGAACAAGAATAATTGTTACACTTTTGTGAATCTGAGTGTCATCCACGTATAAATAAGCTTGTGTGTCTGCGTATGTGTGGTATATATTTTTTACAGAAATAATTATTTCCGCCATTATTAATTATCTAAGCCATACAAAGACAAATATACGAATAATAATTAGTTTTATAGTGGCGTAACGCTGGATAGGTACATGTGTAATTATCGTATCACAACTTTCTGGTTATATACCTATTTGAAAAGAATGATTTCCATCAAGGCCTCAAGATTTATTTGTCCTCCTAAGCCTGCTTTAATATCTACTCGGTAATTGTAATAATTGCGCATTTAATGCGACTTTTTTTTTGAAGTTATGTTGATTTAATTGATTGAGCCATTACTGCTTTATCGTTATTATACAAGTCGAGAAACAATAAAATTTTAAATGCGTACATAATAAAGTTTAAAGGAATATGGGTGAGACCGCTATTGCACTTTCTCACTCTATTTTTTTCTTGCGATCCTATACTTATAATACTGCCACATTCGCATTTGTCAGTATAAAGTCTAAAATGTACCTTGGATGCACTTTGATTCTCCCTCTTCCCCTCTGATTGAACTTTATATTTATGTCTATTGAATTATAAATCATAATCCCTACAAATTGTTAAAAATTCATAATATCAATCGGTGAAAATCCCAGACCAAATAAAAGCATTGAAGTTGTTCCATTGGCGTAATTAACTGATGTGTTTGCAATGTGAAAACCATCTACACAATAATGGTTTGATTGACACCCATTAAGGTAAACAGAACTAAAATTGCCTATGTAACTGATGCTGTAAAATGTGGGAACAAAAGTAATGATTCGCGCAATTTTATGTAATCTTGTAGTTTTCACTTTTGTGCAACATTTTTATTAATTAATTACATATAGGGCGACCTAAAAAAATATCTCAGTCCCCAGTTCGGATGGATATATCTCAAAATAACTACAAAAAATCAGAAAATAAAGTTTACGTCGGCTTTTTTGATTTGATACTGAAATCAGGACCGTAGTTAAAAACTCTAATTATATTTTGCGAGATTAAAATGATAGTAAGTAGTAAGTACATAGTAATTTTTATTTTTATCTCAATAGTACCTATTAATATCTCACAGAATGTTAAGTTGGTAATTGTGATCATGTTTTTAAGATCCCTCTCTCAGAAAACATGGTTTTTAAATAATACTTGTATAACAAAAATCTAATTTTAAATTGCTATCGACTTTAATAATTGAATCTATATAATTCTTGTAAATAAAGCTTTCTTTTCGTTGATGTCGATTTTTACCAAAAATCTATTTCCGACTAATTACGTGCTGATTATTTGTGGGTATCGAACCGTAGGTAGGTCACTTAAAAATTAACAAATTGAAAATAAATAAACGATTTAAAGATTTTAATATAATTTTGCACATAGAGGATTTTTTATTGAGAATGAAATATCTCGAAAACTACTCGTTGGATCAAAAATGTTTGTTCGTCTCGAATGATACCCCTACCAGATGAAGCTGGAGAGCAACTTTGAAATTTCAATATTTCAACTGGGAATCTCTATTTTTTATTGCAGATTCGGATTTTACCGCAATAAATATATCCATAGTATTTCTCAGAAACTTTTTTTAGATATCTAACAGTTTAAACGCAAAAAATAAGAATTTTGGAAAATTCGTGAAGTACTCGTATGCTGTTGATTAAAAATGCAAAAAATACGTGTTCAATATTTTATTATATTCTTAATAAATAAACTGAACGCATCGCTTCCCTCGTTATTGTAAAATTTACTCGTCCGACTGACGAGCGCATGACAACATCAAGCGAAAATTTGCTGAGGTGACGAGCGCATGACAACATCAAGCGAAAATTCGCTGAGGGTGTGACAAAGAAAGACGCTACGAATTGGAAGACAGAATATATGTTAGAGTGTTGTCCTCATGACGAAGGAGTAAGAGTTATGTATTTTTTAAATGTGTGGGTATGAGCAATGTATTATGAAATTTAAACAACTATATACCAAAATATATGTAGATAGTAATAGCTACAAAATGTTTTTTAATTTAAACAAAAGGAAAAAGTCTCCACCACTGCAATTTTAAATTCAAATTAAATACCTGTAATATTCAATCGCAATTGACACCTGTGGGTTCCTCTTTCAACATGGTGGTCAAGGATGCGTAAACAAAATGCGCGTGCTTACCAATACACCAATAGGAGATTTTACTCTGATTTATACTTATAGCTGATCTCTGGATATATTGTAAACGAGTACAGGTATTTTATGTAAAACCTAGATTGAAAAGCTTGTATATAATTATCGATATTGTAATAGAAAGAGGAATAAGAAGAAAAGCAGAAGAATGATAACAGTTAATCAATGTTGCCAACCCTACCGATTTTGGAATCATTCTACCGATATACCGAGTTAAAAATTACGGGACCTCATCTACCAGGATTTAATTTTTTTCAATTAGTTACACTATTTTATTTTTTCTATAATACATTTGTAATAAATTTCTTTTCTTTATTAACAATTTATTAACTGACACTCAAAAAGGTATGCAACACTTTTAACAGCAATCTCATAAGCGTTCACATAAGCTTTGTTGGTTTTGTTAATCATATGCAACTAAGAACACAAGAAAGTAGTAATATTGGTTGCCTAGATGTCAGTAATTTTTTCCAAAATACAATTTTATAAATAATCTAGTTAAAATTAGAAAAAATATTGTATGTAACACGTTACGAAATGCCGTCCTACTCGTCTCTCAAATATTCGCTCGTTACATAAAATGAGGCATTTCATAACTGATTTTCTAAATAGCTATTTAATATCTTCAAAAAATGTAAGTACATTAAAAAACATCAAAACTTTTATGGTAAAATCAATGACAAAGTGATTTGTTTTTGTTTAGCTCACTGACGTCACATTAATACAGAGCATACCATTTTAGATACTGTTTAGAGCCCCTACAAATATCACCTACCATTTTCAAAACAGTGTTTATTTTAATGACAGCGACAATCTATTTTATTTTAAATAATAAATTATTATCAAGATCTGTCATCCAAACACAAATCGTCAAACTGTAAACTGTCAGGAATCCTTGCGAGTAGTATAAAAATGGCCGCTACAGCATCCGCTGCCGCAAAACAGATTCAGAATAAATTTAAAGAAGTCCTACCTCTATTGAACAGAGTCCTAGTGAAGAAACCGGAAGTCGAAACCGTCACCAAAGGCGGTGTGGTGATACCAGATGGGATGGAACCGAAGCTCAATAAAGCTACAGTTGTGGCTGTAGGACCTGGGGAGGTTAGCGAAACTGGCAAAGTGAGTAAATCGTTCATAATATTGTCTGAGTCTCAAATGGAGCAAAAATGATACTTGTTCTAAAAATTTGACAGCAGAGATTTTGCTGTTTTATAAAGGCAAGGCTAACACGGGGCTGTCCAATGTTGTGGTCAGTTCTAGTAAAAAATCTTCTTAAAACTTTGTCCAAAGACGCTATCAATGCAGATTACCTACAAATTTTGATATATATTTTTCATATTTACATACAAGCCCGAGAAACCTGGAATCAGGGACCTCATAATATACAATTGGAACCAGCGGAACCAATCTGTAAACAAATAGTTCAAAAACCAACGATTGTTGGAATCGAAAATATCTATTTGGCTGAGTCTAGGACACTATGTAGGCTGAGGTGATAGCCATACACTGTGCAAAAGAAATAATAAATTTATGGAGTGCAGTTGAACTAAGAAGGACATTATCAATAATATATTTTTTTGTAGGTAATACCAGTTGGTTTGAAACCTGGAGACGAAGTGATCTTGTCAAATTACGATGGAATCAAAATAGAGTTGGAAAATGACGAGGTTTATTATTTGTATAAAGAAAACGAAATTTTGGCTAAAGTTATTAACGAATGAGTTATTGAAATAATTTTTTTAATTTTTTAATTTAATGTTATTTATTCAATCTTTAAAATAAATATTGACTTATTTAGTTACTACTATAACACATATTATCCATTCTCTTTGTATTTAACACCTATAGTAGAATTTTTAGAAAAAACTTTTTATAGTTACTAATAAAAATAGCTTAAAACCAAATTTTCGAAATCATCCACAGCAAATTTGGTAGTGGATAGTAATTTCGAAAAAAAAACTTGTGTTTGATGCCAGAAGTTAAAATTTTTCATAAAACTGGCAACGTAGAAGATTTTGAGACTGATTTGAGGTATTTTTTAGCGAGTGTCTGGTTTAAAATATTTTCGACTGTTTTAAACCGTTTAAATTTTAGTGATGCAACTATGACGTCGCGTACGAAATATTTTAAACCAAAGCTAGAATTTTTGAACCAGTCTGAGGCATATGGTTCAATAACGGTTGACACATAAGAGATTCTGATTGTGGCTGTTGTATGTTGTTTTGCTCTGTTCCATCTTTGAACATTTTGATATATTTGACGTTTTGTTGATTTTTATTGATTTTTGATAACTTCATACATATATTATGTGATTCATATTCATACATTAGTTATAATACAAATATTAATATTTATGGTCATCATAAACAGTTGGACGATGTGATCTACCTATGGGTTACTCTTGATTATGAAACAGTAATTCAATTAAAATAAGGTTAAAGGATTACTTATCAATTGTACGTTTTTTACAAAAATAATTACGGAGTATGCCTCAGATTCTGAATTTGCCAGCAAATATTTAAAAGCAATTAAACGTTCTTTGGCAGTTGATGAACTTTGGAAAAGCCCAACAAATCTACAGCAAATAATCGTTAGACAATCGCGTATCTGTGGAGCTACGGAATAAATATGATGCCATGTTTATTAAAAAGAAAAATACCAAAAATAAAATAATAAACAACGTTTCAGATTGCAATGTACCTATTAAAAACACTTCAATTTTTATTTAAAATCACTATCAAACACTCATCTTCCTTCATCTGATTTAACAATCAGTAAAAAAATATGATCGAAATCAGAATACCTAATTAAAAATTTTGTCATATGACAGCAGATTATATTTTTAAAACACCCTATTTTTGCCATCTATTAATTCATGACGTCACTTTAAGTATGGTTTAAAAAATATTTTAAACCAATGTGGTGGCTAAAAAACAGCTTTGGATGGTTTTTGAGACAAATGAATAAAAAGATGCTTGAGCATAAATTCTTACTCGATAAGTTAGTTCTTATATTTTTAAAACTTACTTTAGTTTAAGTTGACATTTTTCTATCTAAAAATTAAACTTTTTTTCGGAAGGAACACCTCTTTTTATTTTACTACCAAATTACTGTAAATTTTTTAATATTAATAAATCTAACCTATCATGGTGTATTAAATTATCATGTCAACTTTTAGCGACGACACATTTTAAATTTTTACAAAAAAACCATCGGCCATAGATGGTGTCTAAGATAGCCCTTGTGACATAAAAAATCTTGTATACAACACGACGACCTTCCCAAACAAGCATCTGATTAACTTGTTACTGCCACCCAACCATCTGTTGCCGGCTGTCGAATGTAGGTGGGGATTTTGACCCCTTTTCTAGACCCTTAAAAGGTTTCCTACAATTTAAAATTAGAATAAGATGGGATTTGCTGATATATACCTTTAAAAATCTTTTTTAAATCCTTCGTTTGTAATGCCTAATTGATTTTCAGAGTTCAAGAAGCTTTGGAAAAGGTCATTTGCCTTTTAGTCAAAGATAATTACAGGATAAGTGACATAGACATGGCACGGGCCAGGTGAGGTGGGATTTAAAAGTCAGTGACATTTTTTTTAATGAAATTCTTGTTATCTTTAATTTCGTGTATTTGTATTTCTGGCGGTTATTTCGTGGGAGCGTAACTTTGTTAAGAATGGTAATTGAATTCGCAAGTAACTGTACAATAATACAATGCTTTTATAAATAATAAGATAGGAACTGAATGGATTTAAATTAAAATAAATGGGATGACTAGAAGGTTTACGTGTTATTCTATTTTGTGAACAGTTTATCCATGTTGCTCAAGCTGATCTAGAACGTCGGTACGTTTGTTACTTGATCTATCAAATTACTTTAATTTCGTCTTCATGATTAAAACTTTATTTTTAATTTTAAACATATATTATTAGATCTCTACATAATATTTTTATGATAAATCAAACTAAAACTCTTTTAATTTTGCAATTTAGCTAAAATTTCCGTATCTTGATACAAGTGAAAAGTTCCTTCGTTTTCTAAATCGATTTTGGTTCCACCGAAATCTACTAGAATAACCTCATCTCCTGGTTTAACGTCCACAGGAATCAGCTCTCCTTTCTTGTTGGTCTTTCCTGGACCCACAGCTATCACAGTACCTCTTTGATACGTTTGCTATAAAATAAATTATGATTTTGTCAACGTATTGATTGAAGTAAGAGTTTCTTTTGGAAATATGGTAGAGAGAAAGTTACCTCCGTGTCTTCAGGTATTACTATACCGCCTATTGTCTGCTTTACAGGTTCTGCTTTTTTAATTAACACCCTATTCATAAGGGGCAGTAATTTCCATGTCAGCGATTTCAATTTGGGAGACACAGCAGCCATTTCAACAAATTTTTGATATTTTTTTGGAAATAGTTTCAAATAACTTCAGTTTGACTTTTTTATGACAACTAACCAGTAGCGGTACTAGTTATTTTTGTTGTGATTTAACCATGGAGGTAACCAACCAAAGTTGGAATGTGCAGTCTCTTCCTCCAAATTAATTCCTTAGTAGCTTTACTTACAGCTTTTGATTAAGCCAGCTTCAGCAAAGTTGTAGATCTGCAAAGTTGCAGACGTTCTGTAATCTCACCCTTAAACAATAAATGATAGAAATCTGAAAAAACCTTTTTAAATGAAAAATTAAAAGTACCAAAACGTAAAGAACCAAAACTTCAAAAATGTATGTCGGCATAACTACAGCAGCAGATGATAAATAATGTATATTTTCAACAATTATTTAATACTACTATCGTTTGTGCCTGCAATTTGCATTTCTTAGGTTTAAGACGAATTTAAATAAAAGTATTTACACTTTCGGGAACGCTCTGTATTTAAGTGATGTCCGTTCGGCGAACTTGTTGCTGTAATTATTTTTGAATAATTTCACAGTCGAAGAAATCGCGAATACGGTCGAGTTGTTTTGAAAACATAAAGGAAATGTCTGAATATGTGTGTAAAATGAAAAGAGAAATGATAAACTAGAAGAAGAAATGTTGCTTTATATATTCGAAAAAATTTATAATACCAAGGTTATACGATAAATATATTATTGCAATGGGTTCTAGAGCTTCTAAAGCTTTCATGGTTTTGATCCCAAAGGCTCTCTACAAGAATTTTTAAAAAAATCAATACTTAAAGACAAAATTTGAATTTAAATAAAAAAACATTTTTCGGTCCTCTCTTTTATTCTGCTCTAATTTGTACTTTTCTATATATTCTGCTCTAACTCCTATCTTACTTCTTTCACTGCCTGATCTCCAACTTTAATGTCTGCTATTTTAAATTTAATATATGTTATAACTGCCTTTTTTTTAAATTTCCTAACTGGTCATCCAATACCTATCTGGAAATCTTAATTTCTCCTGGCACCTAAATTGAAATTTCAAAATCCCACTACCATTGCAGTCATTACCCAAAGGTCGTTTTAAATAACTTATAACTATTCAGAACGGAAAAATTACATCAAAATTCTAAATTAGTATTATTTAAATTAAAATTGTGTTTAAAGAATGTCTGAGGATGGATACATGCTGATTAGTTAAGTATTTACTATTAAAAAACGTTGATGTTAATAAATATAATTTATTGTGAGTTTCGTATTTGGTATAGTATTGTTGTAATAAGTTGGCAATTCTACGAAATTATTGAAATGACGTCTCAAAATAAATAACTTGTATAAGAAAGGTGCAATATATTTAAACCCACAACAAAATATATCTCTAAGTTCATCAAAAAAGGTAGGTAAGTATAAGGATAAATAAAAAAATTTATAAGAGTCTCTAAATGGGGTGGGTGGCTCAGTGCCTGTGGATCCAAGGGTCCCAGGTTCGAATCCCATCGTTGGCCGGAATTTTTTTATTTAATTTAATTATTTAAAATTAATTCTGATGCCTTGGTAGGATTCCCCACTCGACCGTTCACTGTTGGGTTCTAATTAACAGTGCTGTTCCTAAAGTGGCGATGGGAAACAGTAACAAAGCCTACACAGAACACGAGGCGAAATAACCTTAGCAGTTGAAGCCAATGACACAAAAAAAATACTTTAAAGACTGCATATTTTATTAGTTTGCAAAATAAGAATAAGTTTTATGATATTTCAAAAACATATATATAAATCAAACAATACATGCTACAAAAATAAAGTGACATAACAATTTTAATTACTAAAAATTATTAATATTATAATAATTTATACCTTTTTACTAGAATAAATCAAAACTACCTAAAACCGAATTCTAAAATGTGATTAAATGAACGGGGTGAAGGGTATATAGATAAGCACTGTATACTAACAACAATTTTAATAAACGCTAAAAATAGAAATTCCTCAGCAGACTACAAAGACAGTCGCAAAAAAAAGAACAAAATATCTTAGCTTATTAGTCTCGAGCCATTTACCCAAGACTTCTTTCTCTCTTCTTGAGACAAGTCCAAATAACTACATTACAAAAAATAATAACGCGAGTCACAAATGAAAAAACAAAAAAAAAGGATGATAGGTATTAAATCCTCGGTATTAAATTGTTTCCGGAGGTATGCACGTGCACATGCACCGACAACTTCTACAAAGTAAAAAGTAAGTAAAGTAGAAAGGACGTCAAAGCGATCCTCGCATAGAAGACACTTAATGGTTAATAAAATAAATATTCGAGAAATGGGTCTTTGCGGCCTTTTCAAAATAATTGCTCTTATTAATGTCGGATATCGGCATTTTAAATCATTTCGATAAATCGCGAGCATCATAAATTACGCTTAGATACAGAGCCGAACTCCGCTAAATGTCAATGTCGAAACAGAAAAAAATCACTTTTATTTGCTTTGAAATACCAACTATAAATCAAATAATAAACTTTTTCTACACCCGTATTATAATAATGCACTTATATGCCCAAAATCCGTTTCATAATGATACCCATTATGATACAGATTTTTCATTACGATACAGATTTTTAATCAATAGAAACCTACAATTTTTCAATCAAGCATGCTGTTTGACGTTTGTCCTAGGTTCCTATGTAATTATTTTAGTTGTCAAAACGTATTAAATTTTCGTAGGTAGCTAAACTTCGATAATTATAATATTAAAATGTCTGATATTAGCGATATAGAAGACTCCTCCACACATATCGGAGAAAGCAGAAAATACAGTACAAAATATTTTACCGCAAAAATCTAGGGAAATACCAATACCTGAAGTAATACCATTAATTACAATTTTGTAGAATTTTTTATAGAAATACGAGTAATTACTGTTATTGTGTTCAATACCAATATAAATATAATATTTATAGGTCTTGATTATTTATCGGGTGTAGAAAAAATAGCGTATGCAACTCTCATGTAATGGTTATTAAAACACTCGCATAAACCATACGAAACTCGCCTTTGGCTCGTTTCGTATCCCGGTTAATGCTCGTGTATTAATAACCATCATTACATGATCGTTGCATAATATACTATTACCTCTCATCTAGGTGACGGATTTACTTAAAGGAACCTATATTGAATGAGGAGGTAAGCAGGATCGTATTTAAAAACTTTAGTTTATTTAAAATATTTGGAATAGCCATGTTCTAATATTTTTAGTAATAACCAAACAACTACCTATATTCCAGATAACGCACTGAACTGGTTTCAGTTTGTAATGCAAGACATTTTCGATCAACCCGGTTATGTTCTAATCCCCCTATGCCTTATTTAGGCCTCTTACGGACCCCAGTTTACAGATTACCAAGAATATTCGATGAAATAAGTAAACCCCTTCTATAAGGACGCTTTTGGTGACCAATTGAACTGAATCATTAATTCTCGAATATACTAGAATCACAACAAGACACCTTGAGATTTGGATAAAGTGTAGAAACAGGCAAATGCATTATATTGGTCACTGTAAGAAATTGTGTAACACTGTTGGTATCACGCAAGGGAGTATTGCAGGTCCATTGCTGTTTTGTTATATTTATGAATGATATATGTCAATCTAATTTAAATGTATTCCAATTTATAACTGTTTATGATGATGACACTAATTTTTTGGCAGGTGGGGAGACGCTCAATTGCAGTGATCTATTCCCAAAGAGGTTAGAAAGGGTAGAGGTAACATAGGAAGCATTTCTCGCTGCGCGAATTTTGCCAAAACCGAAAAACTGGGTGGAAGGAGTAGGGAGGTGTTCTGGGCCGGACTTAAATATTTGTATTGTAGTACCTAATTTTGGTGGGTAATTAAAAGATGAAAAATTATGAGACGTTTGTTTGACTTTATTTGTTAGCACGATTCTTGTATGATGAGGGCAATAACACTTTATCAATATATAACTAGCTAAGGGCCGATTCCACCGTTGTGTCAAACGAAGTTTAAATTATTAAACGAAGATTAAAATGACATTGTTAATATAAAAATGTCATTTTAAACACCATTTAGTAATTTAAACTTCGTTTTTGTTAATATAAAAATGTCATTTTAATCTTCGTTTAGTATTTTAAACTTCGTTAAATAAAACGGTAAAATCGACCCTAAGTAAAAGTTTATAAGTACTTTTTGCTCGAATTACACAAAAGATTTTTTCTACGATCACACTAACATAAAATAAATAACTAAATTTTATTAGAAATGGGTTACCTTTTCGTTCGTTATAATATTTTAAGTTTATTTGACATAGGCCTACTGTTCTAAGAGAAAAAAATGTTTTGGTACTTATATCCTGGTAATTATTTATGATTTAATTATTTACGGAAAATACCGTCCAATGAATTAAAATATTAGAAAGTCAATTAATAGTTATTTATGTAACCAGTTACGAAATGCCTTATTTTGTGTAACGAGTAAATATTTGCAAAACGAGCGGAGCGAGTTCCCGCAACATGAACGACTTACACAAAACGGCATTTCGTAACGTGTTTATATACAAGATTTTTTCTAATTTTGACGTGATTATTTATAAAATTGTGTTGAAAAATGATTCACCATCATTCTTGTGTAGGTACTTCCAATCAAATATTTTAGAAAATTGTTGTATTTGATTGCCCTACGACGTTTTTTTTTCAATAGTAATAATAAAAATAAGGGACATGTGCAGTGTTGCCGATCTAATTTTTGACATTACCCGCGAGAAATTTGAAAAAAAAAACATTTTTACCCATTATCCTTAAAGAAGTACGTCAAAATTTTACCCCCAACATTTCTGGGCAGTTTTCAATAACGGTGTTATTTTAAAAATTAAACGCAATTTACAGCTTCTCTTTTTTTGTTTTTAAACGTAATGTCATATTTTCAAATGTGAAATGTCACTATTCATTGCCTCTTTTTCGATATTTGGTTTTTTCAATTTTTCGTTTTTTGGATTTTTGGATTTTTCAATTTTTTATTTTTAGATTTTGCGATTACTCGATTACTCGATTTCTCGATTTTTCGATTTCTCGGTATCTCAA